GGGAAACATTCAGTTTTACTGAATTGAAATAATAGTTAAGAAGGAAAGAGGTAAGAACTGCCAAAGGGATTTCATAAATTTGGAGAAATTAATAGTTGTAATCTCAATTTAGTGTGTTATGTTGAAATTATGTTGCATAAATATGTATTTGTGAAAAATTAGTGAGGAGAATAGTTGAAGACTACTGTTATTGATGCATTCAATATCTATCAGCATATGTTTTATGATGCGAATGTTCTTACTTTTTTATTTTGGTCTTATGTAATTTGGAATTTTATGTTTTATTTTGTTTATCATATGATGGAAGGCAACCAATGATCATGTTTAGGATTGATGCTCTTAGGACATTTCACTCCTTTGGTTTGCTAGCTTTCCTTGATTTTTGGGCATTTGTTGTTGGGCTGAAATTCTCCTATTGGGCTTGGCCCATTTTCCCTTGGCTGCTTTGTGTTTTAGTTATCTTGGCTGATGGATTCTGCTAGTTGCTTCAATTCCCATTTGAGGGGCTAGCTTTTGGGTTTTTTGGCGGTTGAGATCCTGGGTTGGCTATTGGTTTTCTGGCTGTTTGGTTCCTAGGCTGGCTGTGCCTCTCTCTTGGGTATTTCCCATGTTATGGCTGCTCCCATTGGAGGCTTGAGCGGCACCTTTTGGAGGGGGGGGGGGGGCTTGGGGGGGGGGGGGGGACTATTTGGATTCCTTTTTCCAATCTATAGGAGGCTGTTTGCTGCTATAAGTAGGTTTCAATTATATGAAATTATTACTAAACTTGAGGGTTTTCTCTTTCTAACTTGAGAGTGTGGGCTCCGAAAATTCGGCCCCGGCCTCCGCTCGCTTTTCTTTTTATTATGCGAGGGAGTTTTAACTGAATAAGTTCCAGGGTAAATTTTGGAAGGCAGATGAGTTTGTAGATAAGACACTATACAGTTTGTGAGCTGAAGTAAATTTTGATTTATCCACCCCAGCAAACTGTTGCGGATGGTGGATGAGATTTGCTTTAAGTGTTTGATGGATTGATTTTCATTTCATAAATATTTGAAATTAAAATTTATAGACTTTTGGATTTTGTGTGGACTTTTGGGTGGCATTTGAAAAATGTTTGTGAACCCCTCCGGTTGAGATCTTCGTTCAACACGGCCATCATCGGGGTGTTTTGGGGTTATTTCCTTTTTGTTGATTGAACCCTGTCAACTCAGACAAGCTATTGACTGAGGATCGGATTTCTCGTAGGCTTTATGCCTTTCTTCATTAATTTTCTTTGTTGAAAGCCTTGAAGGCCGAATATGAATGCACAAAATAAATATTCCGGTCAACTCCGTAACCGCATATTTATTCGATATCTCGAACCCCGTCTACTCCTATTTCTCTATTTAGGAGGATCGGGTTTCGTAGGCTTCATGCCTTTTGTTTAGTGAATTCTTTTGATTGTAGGCCTTGAAGACCTAATACGAATATATTGAAACAAATACACTGGTCGCCACAGCCGTATATTCATTTAAAAGTTCGAACCCTGTCGACTTCTATTGATCCGTATAGAAGGATCTGGTTCGAACTATAATTCACTTATCGACCCGTGCAGCATCCCTATGCGTCACTTGTGTACCAATAACACGCTCGTCGGGGCCCATGCGGGTGATTTTTATATTGTATAAAGAGATCTGTAAGTATTATTATTATTATTTTTATTAATGCAATTAGTTTGCTTTGTCAAAAAAAAAAAAGAGATTTGAGGAGCTGTGCATACACTTTTGGGTATGTAAATAAATTTTAAAAAATTTAGTAAAGCTCTGTATTTCTCTTGAGATTTGCATTTTATCTGAGGTATTTTATATATGCTTTCATGTCATAAAGTACTCTGTTTTTAATTATAAAATTAAGATGCTGAGATTTTCTAAATAGGTTACTTTCTACTTTGATTATGATAGGGATAGTTCAGAACGGGTGTTAGTAAGAAGTAGGTCTGTTCAGATTCTCGTTCCATGTTACACTCTAGATTGACTGTAGGAGGGTTAAAATGGTTTGTGACAATGTGACAATCAATATGAATAGTGAACATTATCGTTTCATATGAGTAGTATAAATCAGTGATCAATGATCATATGAAGGATGGTGGGGGCAAGAAATATAGGGAGCCTATACCCCTCGCCCACACGGGAGATTTGTGTGACCTTGAACCGACGACAACCCACTAAATCACAAAACAAAGATGATGACTAAGATGAGGAAGAACAAACTCTTATATTTCAAATTAAACTAAAAAGAAGAAATTAAGAGACTACAAACGACGATATAACAAACTCGAATCGAAAATCAAAGACACCCTAAAGTTGCTTTACTTAGAGACGAAAGATACAGATGGAGTGGCACTTGCGGAGAGATGAAAGAGATTAGAAGCCGAGACGAAAGGTTGGAAAGAGCTTGCAAGATTTCCGGAGGGGATGAGAAAGAAGACGGACAAAGCTCGCAAGCTTTTCCAATGAAACCCGCAGGTTTACATTTTCAAAAATCACAAACATTCACTTTTTTAAAACATTACAAGCCCCTCATATTTATAGGTATGAAAGGGGAATACAAAAGGACACTAACAATGAATTCACATAGAAATTCTAAACATCACAAACATTAAAACCCAAATGCTTTTCATGGAAAAACAGCCCAAGCCCAAGAACTGAAGGAGCAGCCGCGGGAGACAAGGAGGCCGCACGGAACCAAGGCGCCACAGCCACGGGAAACATCCCAGGCTCGGAAAAACTAGCAGCCGGCCGGAAATCCAAGGGCCAAAGGCTCAAAAAACAATAGCCCATGGTGGAAGCCAAGGAGCCACACATGAGAAACAACACTTCTTGGAATTCCAAAGGCCGATTTGGAATTCTAAGGGCCAAACATAGTTAAAGACATAAAAACAATAAAAAGTACATTTAATAAAAGATAACTATGAATTAAAACTTAGCTAATAATGAGCTAACCCTTATTTCAATAAGTGAACTAAAGACCAGCTCATAAATGAGCTAAAATTTCAGCTCAATTTTGATTGAGTTTGTAAACTCGAGGGAGGCCAAAATTGATTTATTTTTGGACATGAGTTGATCCCCCCTTTATCTACATCAAAGGATCGATAGATTCTATCATTTTTATAAATTTATGCCTATTATCTCAATTTATATGCCACATTATGTGTATCTGTTTATCCATCATATTAGGCCTGTGAACATCTATTATATGCATGTCGTCATACAATATTAAATATCAATGCATAGATATCATGAATTTCTATTATATGCAATGCAAAATATATATCATGTATTTCATATGTATTAAAATGCTCTTATATCAAATATCATAAGTTATATCATGTGCTTGTATCAGTTATGTCCTATATAACGTGCAACTTGTATTATTTCATATCACTTATGCAATTTATTATGTCATATACAAGCAAGAAGAGCATCTGACTACTTGTGATTTTTTTTCTTTATTTAGTTATGTAGACTAACCTTACAAGAATTAGTCTCAGTCATATGGGTCATATTTCCAGAAATCAGTCTTATATCACATTATCATAAGTCAGATGACTTTCATGTAAGAATTTCTAGCTTCCTACGCGTCGGCGTAGCATATCATATTAGTTAGTCGCCTTGTACCTCTCTTTTCATATCACCAAATATTACACTACAAACCTTATTTAAAGGAAAGCTAGTTGGCTTACCCTCTTGTATAAGGCAACATGTCTTCAGTCAATCTAAACGAATTAATTATTTTCAACCAACCTTTCTTATTTTTACACAGATCTCACATCATGTAGATTGTAATAACAAACATCATATACCATATACACCCAATACAACTATTATTACACTCTTCAATATATCTATAGTATGCCTAAAATGCATGTTGAACTAAATAAACAATAAATATATGCATATCATGTATCTTTTGTCCAATTGTTATATACTGACTCCTGATTATTTTACACATAATATTTCCCTACTTATTTTAATTAAAATAAAATATAAACAAAACGACATGATGAAATTTCAATATTGACCAATCAAAATGCTCAGGATAACGATATCTACCACATATCAAAAGTTACATGATGGAAAATCACTAAAATAAGAGATTGCATTTTAATCAATTTTTGGAAAGATAAATTTTGAAATCAAAATAATTGAAAACCTAAATAGGATTCATGTTATCTATCACGATCAGAACACTTTTCTCAATTGGGGTGACGGATGAAAATGACCCGAAGTAAACTTTTCTATCCTCACTCTCTTTTCTTCTCTCACCATGCACTCTTCTCTTCTACCCAAGCAAAGAAGAAATGGGAGAGGGGATGGCTTGGTGAGAGATTTAAGAAAATGGTTTTAGATATTGTTTTTTTTTTTAAAATAAACTTACAGACCCAGCGCCGTTGCATTCATTTATTTCTCCAAAATTTTGAGAGCCAGTGCCGCAATGCTGCCTATTTCGGCACCACAGTGCTCCCACATACTATTTTTTGGAATTTCAGGGAAATGAAATTTGGGGTTAGTACAGCGGAAGCCATCAACAAGCTTTGCAAAGAAAAGATGATGATAATGATGATTTAATTAATCATAGATCAAAGGGTTTGAACTGCTTTTTGTATTGCTCTATTTATGCCTAACCTAACTGCAAGTCCAACAATCTGTGTTTTTGGATTTAGTCTGTTGTTTTTATTTTTATATCTGGACTTATATCAAAAAATTTTTTTTTTAACTGAGCGCTATGGATTTGTGCATGGATATATCATTAACAACCACATTCAAAATGCAGTATAATTTCTAGATGGACAGAGAAAGGTGAAAAGCTGCTCAGTTCTTTACAGTGAATATGCTTTATAATGTCATTTGCTCCTTAAGTTTATTTATTAGTATTATGGCTATTCCAGCTCAAGAGTTATGTCATTGTGTATCTCACTTCTGTATGACCTGGCTGTAACAGCTATATTTTTTTTTTCAATTGTGTATTTTTCCCTGCAGTTAATTCAAGATGAGTTGTTTCTGGAAGAAATTGAGAAGCACAGAGTATCAAATAGTAACTTAATGCCTCTCCCCCTCGAGAAGTATCTGGAAACACTCAAGTCATTAAATTCTTCTTTAAGTGATAACAGGGCTGATCAAAACATAGCTATCAGATCTTGCAGGACAGACCTGTACCACTACGCCAGGTTATCTGGTGTTCATATTCTTGAATGTGTTATGGATTCTGTTCTTTCTGCTGTGGAGAGAGAACAGCTTCAAGTGGCTAGTGATGTATGTGGTGTGTTTCTGATGTAATCCATGGAATTCTTTTTACTTGTTGAATAACTTTAATATTATGGTATGTGGTATAAGTTGCTAAATGGCCTTTCATTCTTCACCCTGACTGTATGTTAGCTGTTGCAGGTTCTTTCATTGTTTCCTCTTCTTCAGCCTCTCGTAGCTGTATTAGGTTGGGACATGTTGCCCACTAGGACTGCTGCTAGAAGAAAACTAATGCAGCTTTTATGGACTAGTAAATCACAATCTCTAAGGATGGAAGAGTATCCTTTATATGGGAAAAAAAGTGAAGAGGTATTTTCATAATTTTCATGCCCCTTTAGTTCCCGTCCTTTTCATATATTTCTTAAGCCTCAAAAATTTTTTATTGACATAACTAACCAACTTTGGTAACTCATTATGACAGATTTCTTGTGTGGAGTATCAGTGCGATCTCTTATGCTTTTACCTGGATCTCGCGTCATTTGTTTCCCACGTTAATTCTGGACGGTCTTGGAACTCTAAGTCCTCAGTACTATTCTCTCAAAAGGAGCAGGTTTCAGATGCAAAAGGAAATGGGGATCTGGACAATTTTGTGGAAAACTTCATACTTGAACGGCTCTCTGTAGAAACACCAATGAAGGTATGTTCCTTTGAAGGTACTACCATAATTCTCTTGCATGCACGTGACATTTAGAAAAAAAAATTAAACCATCATGCATAACTAAATTGGAAAAAAATTATGGATTTTGAAAATATAAATATTCAATGATTATGTTTCTAAAAGTTGCCTTCATGAAGCTGCAGCTACCACAGAATAATATTTTTATTGTGTTGTAAAAATTGGTTCCATTCCTTATGTTGATGAATATTCTTGTTAACAACCATATTTTGTGTTTTAGCTTCAATTGCATCGTTTGATTATATATATATATATGCTGTCATTTACTAACTTAAAAATTGTACTAGGTTGAATTGTGGCCTGAATATGTTGATGAAGAAAATTAACAGGTAAAAGTGTTGTGAAAACATAAGAGGAAAAAGTTAAAAAGATTAAGAAAACACCACGTATATGACTTGAAGCGATCCATATACACAACTTTAATCAAAGCAGGAAGAATAAAACTATAATTAAGCTCTTGAAATGGTTAATTCATTAATTAAGTTGAAAATCTATGCTAGTTCTATTTATTAAGGAAAATAACTTCCAAGATAAGGATGAGATCATCCTTATTTTTCATCTAATAAAAAGGGAAATAAATTAAAATTTGGGTCTATATAGTGGTCAAAAAAATCTTCAAAATTGATATAATTTATCTCCTTTGTAGCCTAGTTTGACTTATTGTGATTGAAATTGGAGTTTTGTGGGCTGATATGATTGAAAAACCACCAACACAACGGTGCTGCATCAATATTGTAAATTCTAGAACTTACATGGGGATTCCTATAGAAAATCTAGGAGATTAAGAGTAAATATAAACACAAATACTCCTGTCAAATACAACTCAATCTTTGCTATCTATTTCTAGAATTGTATTCTTAAGATAAGAATAAAAGAGCATCCATCTCTTGGCCATAATTCATTATAGTTTTAAAGAGACAGAAGTTATCCTCTTACTAACCTTATTTATTTTACATAATCAATGATTGGTAGGGAGTAATTATTATACATTGTTCTCTTTCTAGGCACTTACATTTCTTAAAGAAGTCTAGGCTTGTGCAACGCGTGCATCACATCCTACTCATATTATACTTGGTGCATATTTATATATCTTGCCGAGCCCAAGTAATTGGCATAAGGCTAATGATGATGATGGCATAATTTTATATATGTTTCAAGAATATGTATAGGTGTATATGCTATGAATGAAACCCATGACAAAGTAACTCTTGGTTTTGTGCTAGTTTTGAATTTGCTTAATCATTATTTGAGGTGAACAATTGTTGATGTTAATGATGATGAACTGCTCGATTTTTTGCAAAGTTAAAAACGAAAAGGGAATCCTATTGCATTACAACAACAACAACATCAAGCCTTTATCCCACTACGTGGGGTCGGCAAATTTAGAGAGGGTGTTGGAAGAAAAGAATGTAACAAACATAACTAAAAACATTGGGATGTGGTGAGGTACATAATCGGCTTTATTAATGCTTCTAAAATATATATTTTTTAGAAGAATAAGCTCAAGTCATGAGCAAATAAATAATTTACATATTAAAGTAGTTATTTTAGTATTTTTTGCATGAAAGAAGTTTATTAAAATTTTGATTTAGAAGCTTTTTGCAAGCTTTAAGTTCAGAATGATGAAAAAAATTTATGCATTAGTAAAAGTACTTTTGAAATGAACATTAAAAAGGATTGCTATTCTTTTCGTTTTCCCATTGTATCCTATTGATTATTCTTCTTTAACTTGGGAGTTGCATTGATATAATACTTTGTGGGTTAAATAGAAATAATCATCTTATATGTAGCACAATACTGATGGTGTAAAATGATTTTTACGGGATTCTGAAACATCGTTTGATGTGTATGTACAACATTCTTCTCGAGATATTATCATTTGCTTAATAACACCAAGTTTGTTCCAAATCAATGGTTATCAAATAACCTTAAGTAATTCTTTCATGCATCATTATTCTTAAGATTCTTATTTGAAAGAAGGATAGCATTGGACTGGATTGTAGGGCCTTCCAGCTGAGTAGAGAAATTTAAATGCCAACATGTACATTGTATTTCCACATGATTTCGAGAGAAGCATCCTTAATTAGAAGAAATAATCAGTAATTCTGTTCTGCTCAAATTCATATAGCTTTCTGAATTTGTATAGCCTGAATTCTCAATTGTGAGGAGACACACTCACAGTTGCATGGATTTATGTCCATGACTCTGTAAGGCTAACGGTTTGAATTTGGACATAAAATATCATTCTATCATACACTTGTCTCCATGCTGTTGTTACTCTATGGTAGAACAAAGGAAAAGGTAAGCACTGATGGCTGTAGAAAAGCTCTAAGGACTAGGGAGCACTTGAATGTCTTTTGGAGGTTTGTGCTAGGATATCACCAGTTCATTATTTTGGTATTACTCGCATCTTGAAACATATCTAACGACTTTTAATCAAACTATTGTATGCACTAACAGGAACATCAAATTGATAAATCATTGTTTGCATTTGCTAGTCAGCCATCATTTCACTTGATACTTATGTAGGCAAAGAAAAGGAAGTGAACTGTTGTGATAGGAACTTTTGATTTATTGGTAGATATCATCATATGAGTTGGATTTACCATGATCTCGATAAAAATATTATTAAATTTTTATTTTTTATAAATCTAATCTCTTTATAGATAATCAAATCAATGTTCATTGATAAGATATCTGGCATTTGGCATGTTATATTTTCCATATCGCACTAACTTTATATTTTTAATTCAAAAGTATTTATTTAAATTTTCATCTTTAAGCAACTTTTAACCATTTTATTTAATACTTGGGAATTGTTATTTATTTGTAATCAAGGTCATATTGTTCGTTTTATTGACAACAAAATTTATTAAATGACATGTTTTATATTTCAATACAATATGTGTTAATTGCATTAAGGAAAATGAAATTGTTTGAATTTGACTTTTCATCGATATATAATGTGTCAACAAGATTTTTTTAATAATAGAATTAAAAATTATTTGTTAATGGTATTAATTATATTACTTTTTTTAAAAGTCAATTAAAATTAATGATTATTTTAACGTAGGAAAATATTAAGTTAGGAAAGCCATTTGTTTAGTGAGTGGCCTACATTTATTTGATTTTTCCTTAAAATAGTGTATTTATTCATATATTATAAATAAAGGGTTTTTTAGTGAATAAAATACAAGAAATAGCTTTCTTCTTTGAGATGGTATAAGTGCAGGGTATATCTAATCTTGTTATGCCTATCTTTCTTCCCATGCTTGCCCCTCTTTCTTTTTGCTACTCTCCCCTCTATCAAACACCCCCCGTTTGCTCCTCTCCTTTTTTCCCGTGACAATTCTCCTGCACCACGCACCATCACTCACTTGCACTAGTATTTGTCCTCGCTTACACCATTGTTTTTCCTCGCTTGCTTAGCAGCACTTGGTGCAGACAGCACTTGGTGCAGCCCATGCTAGTCTCTCGATCCTATTGCCATTGTTGGTATGACTCGCCTCTAGGGTACGAATGTTTCTTACATCAACGAGATTCTTTAAATCATACTATTAAAATTTATACAATATTTGTTTACTTTTATTAATATCATTAAAAATCAATTTTAATTAGCTGTTATAGTTAACTTGGGAAAATACGAAGTTAGTAAAGTCATCTATTTAGCGAGGGGGCATACATTTATTTGATTGTTCCTTAAAATGCTGCGTTCATTCCTTTCTCATAAATAAAGAGTTTCTTTAGTGAATAAGACATAAGAATGAGCTTTCTCTTTTGATATGGTATTAGAGTAGCTAGTGTATTTCTAACCTTAGTTGTTGTGCTCGCCTCTCTTCCTATGCTTACCCCTCTTTCTTTGTGCTCCACTCTCCCTTCTTATGTTGATCACCTTGCACATGCTATATTTTTTGATCCATATCAAGAAGGGGAAGGCACCTTTCGAGTAGGTGTAGACTCTTAGAGAAGAAAAAAAAAAAGAAGAGAGGCTAGAGTGGGAGAAATCAACAATTATTCATTCCATCAATCATTCATTACAATAAGTAATGTATTTATAATACTTGGGTAAAACAAGTTTAAAATATAGAACCGGTCTACCTAACTAAACTTAAAAGAAAACTAGATTAATACTTTATTACATATGTGGACCCATTTGTCATTTATGCTTGTGGAATATATTTGGGCCTTCTTCTTTGGTAGGCTTCCTAGTTGTTGGTTGTCTTGCATGTTTGTAGCCCATGCTTCACATTGAATTTTGGATTTAATCCCATATACTGATGTCTAACACTCCCATTGCCATGGAAAACAACTTTGTCTTCAAGGTTGAGAGACGAAAAATACGAAGAGTAGGGGTAAATTCCATGGTTTAAAATTGCGCAATATGAGGCTCGCCTTGAGGCCCGCCTTTGCGCAATTCCAGTAAAAAACGCCTCGATGCTTACGCCTTGAGTTTTTTTATGAGGATTGTGCCTCAACTTGGTTTAGGCCCGCCTTGAGGCCCGCCTCGCCTCACTGGCATGAGGCTTACGCCTCACGGTATATATATTAAAACTTACATAAATCTTGAAGTAAATGCTCGACATTGGACTCTATAGGAGAGGAGGAAGGGGAGAGAGCAGTTCATCATAATGATGATTCGAATGAAGAACCCCTTAGTGATGTCAGTGCTGATGACTTATGAGTTCTTATGTGATATGTCATTGTTTTTTTTTTTTTTTGGAAATTTGAAATGTTAATGAAAAGAATACTTGGATTTTGGAAAGATAGAATTTTGAGTTGAACTATATTTCATGTTGTCTTTTTAGTGGGATATTTTGATTTCACTTCATATCTTATGCTTTTTTGTGTTTTATATTATTCACTCATTAGTATATAAAAAATTTATCATTTTATGTTTATCAATACCCGAATACGCAATTTTAAACATTGGTAAATTCAAAGTGATTGTCATGAATTGTTTG